AGAGAGAGAGAGAGAGAGAGAGAGAGAGAGAGAGAGAGAGAGAATGGGAGGGCAAGAGAGTGCAAGTGCTGTACTGTATGGGGTAATAGAGAACTGTGTATACATTGAATGCCTGGTAATTCATTATAAACGGTCCAATTATTTTTGGATATTAATGCCATTAATCATAGAAACAACAAAAATACAGATAAATATTGTTACAAAAAAATACAGGAAAAAAATAAATGAGACGTTAAGACGACTTATGGGTAGAGGAAAACATAAATACAAAACTAAAAATTACAATTATATGGAAAACAGTTTACAATTCTCATACCAGCCCATAACATCTATCATTATCCATAAATCTATAACCTATAGGATTAACATTAACAATAAACTAAACACTACTCCATTGTTTAAGCATTATATCATTAGCTCATTATCTATGCATAATTGTAATGAAAAAAATCATAAAATAATAAGTCATATAATATTATAATAACAGGAATGACAGGCGAACTGAGTGTAACAAAAGTGAAATGAAAATTAACACCAAAACAGTGTTTATATAATTAAAGCGAGACTTATGGGACACAGTGTGGGGAGTGGTTGTGGCCGTACCTGAAGTGCTGGCAACCCAGGCCAGGCCTAGTGTACCGCCGCTGAAGTCACGGTAAGTGAATATATAGGCTAAACAGAAGTCGTTGTGATTGAATTGTGAGTTCAGATTCAAGAAGTTGGAGACATCGATGTTTGGCGAACAGAATTGGTTGGACTCCCGCTTGTGGGCCGAATCACAGGCGGACGAGTCGTTGATTTTGAGCCGTTGCACAATGAACTTCAGGCCGTAGATGTCTTTGAACACAGAGGTCTCGTAGATATGGTTAACGGCTTTGATGTGTTGGGCCACCAATGAGGCGATCTCTTCGCGTGCTTTCGCGTCCGACGGCTCGTTCTTCTTGATGTGATCCCAGAGATATGTATCCGTTTGTATGTATAGACTGCAGGCGCGGCGTTGCGGTACGAACGGCGTGTCCCGAGGGGTGGTCTGCGCCGGTCGGTTGGCCGGACCGATGCGTCCCTGAGCCTCGAACGCCGTCGTCCAGTAGTTGGGCCGCACTGTACCGCTGTTGCCGTAATTATTGGTTCCGTACTCTCGCTTACGTCTGGACAACAGGCCGTCGCTGTAATCGCCGTCCGTTTGGTCGTCGACTCCCGAGTTGGAGACGGTGTTCATCCACTCGCGGGTGTCGTCGTCCAGAGCGCAGGCGCCGTCCTGTGCGGACCGCTTGTGCCGGTACGGGTCGGTGACATGTCTTGAGGAGTAGATCACCGAATGAAATGGCAGTGACTTATTGTGTTTCAATTGATAATCACTAGAATTGATGTAATTGAGCGCTCGCTCCACGTAGTAGTGCTGGCCTTTCCCGGTGTGGATCTGGCCTTCAAACAGGCCGTCGCGCACCGCACCGAACACACGGCTCGTGGGGTCTCTGGCCAACTCGCCCGACACTATGTGCGACAGACTCACAGCCACTGGTCGGCCGTCAGAGCCCTCCACCACCAGATCCGGATGAAACACAGAGTCCGTGTCGGGCCGTAACCGTAGCGGAAAGTGGCGGCCGTGAGATCGGAACTCCACCGCCAGCGGCGGCAGCTCTGGGCCGGCGTCACGCCGTTTGTGCTCATCGGCCGTATGGTATGGAGACTTGGGATCAGTTGAGCGTTTGGCACGACTCGCGGAGTGAAGGCGATGCAAATGACTGGTGTCGACGGGCGGGTAGTCGAGCGGCTCGTAGTGTTCAACGTATTGATCCAACCGTTCCGTCCACACCATCGACGGCCACCACAACAGACACACCGACGACAACAACACAACCGATGAGAACCTATTGATGCGACACATGATGGGTGCGGACGAGTGAGTGGGTGTGTGTGTGTGTGTGCACTGGTTTTGGCCGCCGGGGGATTACCGGATCAGATGAGGTGATGAGTAGACAATCATAGCGTCCATACAATCAAAACAATAGGACTCATGAATACAACATATTGTGTGCGACCGAAACCATTGGCACATCATTTCATTGTCCACTCAATGGCCGATACAATGCGAGACTCTGTGGACCAGTTGTGGTGATGATAGGGGTCTTCGTTCGGGCGAATGTATGGCCAATGGATCCAATGGTTTGGATGTCATTGAGTGGATGTCTTTCACACAATACAAACCCAAACACAGTGTGAGTGAAGACAACAGTAGTAGTGATCGTTGTATTGAGTGTTAGTGTTGTACACACTATGCATACACTCTGTATGTATTGCGCACTCAAATGCACTCAAACAACACAAACACAGCACAGACTGTAAGGCTATTGTGCTCTCACTGGCAGTGCAACCAACAAACCAAAAGCCATCAGTCGAGTGCCCAGACATTGAGTTTCCATTTGACGTTACGTTACGTTAGCTGAATAGCGTTGGCTGTTGTGTGCGCTTACGTGACATCGACTGTAGTGAGCGTAGAGCGCGTGCGCCACCACTCCCTATAGGAAACACCACTGCTTTTGTGGAAATCATATGATTTTGCATTGCATTGAATGCACTGAACGGGTGTGCGATGTGTGGC